ATATATATATATATATAAAGGCCATGTCGTTGCATCGATAATATTAGAACCAAAAAATGAAAATAAAATGATTGATCATGATGAGATCCATAATTATATCGAAACTCGTTATGTTGGACCAGTTGAAGCAAGTTGGCGCATACTTGGAAAAAAATTACATGATAAAAGTCATGTTGTAACACGTTTACCAATTCATTTACCTAACGAACAAAATATTACTATTGGAAGTGATTGTTTCGAAGATGCATTGGTTTCTGCTGTTGAACGAGTTACTATGTTATTAGACTATTTTGCTTTAAATTTACGAGATGATGAAGCAAAAAATTATTTGTATATTGAAATTCCACGTTATTACACATTTAAAAAAGTAAACATTAATGGTAAAAATATTTCTCGTTGGGTTAAACGTAAAAATTATTTTAATTGTTTAGGACGGATATATTCAGTAAGTCCAACGCAAATTGAACTTTTTCATTTACGATTATTACTACTGACGGTTAAAGGAGCAATGAATTTCCAAGATTTAAAAATGGTAAATGGCGAATTATGTCAAACTTTTACAGCAGCATGTTTAGCATTAGGATTAATTGAAGATGATACTAAATGGATTAGAGCTATGAATGAAGCTGTAAGATGGATGATGCCTCAACAATTACGCAGGTTATTTGTTCGAATTTTACTGCATTGTAATCCATTATATCCTGAAATTTTATGGGAAAAATTTAAAGATGGTTTATCAGAGAGGATTATATTCGGTAAATTGGTCTATTACAAGGTTTAAGAACTTCATATATTCATATTAACAAAATGCTTTTAAAAGAAGGAAAAAGCTTTTCAGAATTTAAAAATATGGAACAAGTGGCAAATAATGATGATGAAATTGAATATTTAACAGAACAAGGAGCTACTCTGGGAATGAAACAATACGATCAATTAAACCAAAAACAAAAAGAAATAGTTGATATTATATTAGACTCATTAATTAATAACAATTCAGAGAAGCGTTGTTTTTATATTGATGGACCTGGAGGATCTGGAAAAACATTTATATACACAACTATTTATTATCTTGTTAAATTACGTAAAAAACATGTATGTACAATGGCTTTCACAGGCATTGCTTCAACATACATTATTACCTCAAGGAAAGACAGTTCACAAAACATTTGGATTACCAGTACCGTTATTTGTTGATTCAACTTCTGGTATTAAAATTCAATCCAAGGAAGCTCAATATTTAAAAGATATAGATATTTTTATTTGGGACGAAGCACCAATGGCACCACGTTATGCTTTAGAGATTGTAGATCGCACATTGCGTGACTTTACCGGTAAAAATTTACCATTTGGTGGAAAAATTATTGTTTTGGGTGGTGATTTTAGACAACTTTTACCAATTAAAGTACATAGTACTAGAAGTGAAATTGTTAATCTATCGATAAAATTTAGTTTAATATGGAAATGTTTTACAAAATTTTCATTAATAAAAAATATGCGTGTTTTATCAGAAGAAACAGATTTTTCTAAATTTTTAATAGATTTAGGCGATGGAAAATTAAATGATTCTAAAAATAATATAGAGATTCCTCAATGTTGTTTAGCATCACCAGATACAGATATCATTGAAGATATATTTGGAGATTTAATTGTAAAAAAGGATTTTAATAAAATCGCTAAATGTGTCATACTTTCAGCAAGAAATGTTGATGTAGAAGAAATCAATAAAAGAGTTGTTGAATTATTAGACATTTCTGGTGAACGTATTTATACAAGTATTGATAACATCGTAAATTCTAATGAAAATAATAATTTCAATGAAATCATATTACCTGAATATTTAAATAATCTAACACCATTATGTCTCCCACCACATGAATTACGTTTAAGACCAAATTGTGTAATTATATTAATTAGAAATTTAAGCATTAATGAGGGTCTTTGTAATGGGACAAGATTAATAATTGATGAGCTTGGTGATCATTTACTCAAGTGTAAAATATTAACAGGTGATAAAATTGGAGATATTGTTTTTTTAAATAGAATAACACTATATTGTGAAAACGTTTATCCTTTCACTTTTTCAAGAAGACAATTTCCGATAAAATTAGCATTTGCAATAACGATTAATAAATCTCAAGGACAGACATTCGAAAAGGTTGGAATCGATCTTCGTAAAGATGTATTTAATCATGGACAACTTTATGTTGCTTTATCACGTGTCCGTTCTTGGCAAGATATAAAAATTTATTTAGGGAAACAAAGAGAAAACAGATTAGTTAAAAATTATGTGTATAAAGAAATGTTTGTTTAAAATATTCATTGAAAAAAAGAAAGGAATATATTAGATTAATTCAATAATAATAATTTGATAATATTTAAGAGTATACAATTAAACTTAATTTAAAATATAATAATTAAAAAAAAAAATTAAAAAAATATTATTTTTAAACTAAATATAGAATTAATTAAAAATAAGATTTAATGAAATATAATTTAAAAAATTTGATTGTGTTAAGCTGTATTTAGATGGAAAATGAAGAAATAATGTAATTAATCAGCCATATAAGTGTTGGAGATTCTGAAAATCAACAACGAATGCAGAGCTCCACAGTAAATGATGTTAATTAAAAATTCAGGAAAGGAAAGCAACTGAGTTAAGCGGAAGTTTTTGACAAACTATAAAAATGCAGATATTTAGAATCTTCAGAAAAACTTCGAGGACTTCAAGCCATAAGCACCAAGATCAAATAATAAGTACAGTTTATATATCTTCAGAAAAACTTCGAGGACTTCAAGCCATAAGCACCAAAATCAAATAATAAGTATAATTTAATTATATGAATTTAATAATCTTTAAATATAGAACTAAACTAAAATTTAAAATATAAAAATTAGAAATATATTAAAAATTAAAAAATAACTATTATTTTTAAAAATAAATATTGAAGTATT